CTCACAGTCCCTGGGCTGGGGGGGCTGGTGCAGCCGCCTGGGCAGCCGGCGGCCTCGTCCTTTTAAAGGGGCAGGATGCTATTCCCGCGGCCGGGGAGCCCCCCTCCCTGCTCGGCCGGCGATACCCCCCGGATGATGGGGCACCACCACCACCCCCTCGGCAGGTGCCTGTAGGTACATGTGAACAACGCATTCCCCACGAAGGGCACAAACGCGCACGCCCGGGCTTCCTCTCGACAGAACAAGGGCATTTTTCGCAGGGAGAACAGTCATTCAGCAGAACTGCCTCCCCAGGGACGTGGGGGAGTCCCCATCGCTGGAGGTTTTCAAGACACGACTGGACAGGCTGCTAGAGAATCTCATCTAGGCTCCCTTTCCCACAAAAGGTTTGGCCAGGTGATCTTTCGAGGCCCCTTCAGCCTGGGCTGCCCTTTGATTCTTCCTCCCAAGAAGGGAGGGAACCTTGGCCTTTCTTCATTCCTGTTCTGTCAGCTGGGACTCAGACAAACACACAATCATTTTGGTTGGAGGTTTGGTCCAACCGCTGCCTGGAGCAGGTCTCAGGGCCTTATCCATCACACCTGAATATCCTCAGGGACGGAGAACTCACCACCACGTTGGGCACTGGCACCAGTGCTGCATTACTACTACTTTTTCCCTCTCGGGGGTTGACATTTTCACTATGCACCTCTGAGAGGAGTCAGGCTCCTTCTCCCCTGTAATGCCCACGAGGCGGCCAGAGTTGGCAGTTACACCTGCCTTGGCCTCCTCATCTTGAACAAGCCTTTTCTCATACACCCTGCGTTTGCATGCCTCGGGACTTGGAGATGTGCAGAAGGGACGCCCGACGAGCTGGTAGTCTGGCATGAGCTCTCCAGTCACCCACTGGTGGTGGCTGTGCTCTGGCTGGGGCCAGGCCCACTTTCCCCTTGCACCCTTCCCTCTCGGAGCGGGGTGGCCACCGTGGCCTGTGAGGTGGTCACCATCGCACCAGCTAGGCTGGGGCCCAGTGCTGAGCCACCGCACTCCTCATGACCGTGGTGCTGGGCAAGGAGGCACCGGTGTCTGCCCGCAGCTGCAGGTGTTTAAAGGTCAGTGGTTTCCTTCCCACGCCGCCTTCCTTGCAGTAACTGTAGCTTGCACATGCAGAGGTTGCTGCAGCCAGCAATAAAGGCTGTGACTTGGCATTAGTGAGTTGAATTCCCCAAGTTATCAGCTGTTTGTGATGACTCGAAAGCTCATCAGCAGGCAGAGGTGAAGGACGTTTTTTTGGTGCTGATGCTATCCATATCTCCAGCTGTGCGGAGGATGTCCTTTGAGCCGTGGGAAAAGAAACAGCCCCAGAAGCTCTAGCAGCTCCTCCGAGAGCTCTCGCTGCTACCAGCTTCTAAACTGTCAGACTAAAGCCAGCACAGGCAGGGCTCTGCTTGCTGTAGGCACTGTACAAACCCTCTCATAGGGGCCATTTCACCCCCATGTCCCTGCTGCAGTCCTGGCAGGTACTGGCTGAGCATCTGGAGGAGCACTGCTGCCAAAACTCGTCCTCTGGAGGCTTTAAACATTTAACTCCCTTGTTTTTAATGCTAGCCTTCATACAACAAGTTCTGCGTTTCTGTGGCACCAGTTGCCTGTGGCAAGTCACATGGATTTTAACAAGGAAATCAAGGCACAGGAAAAAAAATGGAGGGAAATGCCAGCTAAATAGATTATATCTAGCCGAGATACATGTATTCAAGTCAGCTGGTGGCGTTCAACCTAGACTGCTAATGACGCTGCCCTCAGTAATCCTGTAGCTGTAACAATCACTCAGAAAACCCACAGAGGAGGGAAAGTCCCAGAAGGATGCAGAAAAGCAAAACAGTACCTGTTCTGAAGAAAAGTGCGCCCTAGGAGGGATGCACCATTCCAGGTACAATAGCTAGGAGGAAACTACAGCCACTGCAGGTACTTATTAATGGCCTAAATAGCACTAAAAGTGATTTTGAAACCACACAGCACTAGATCACCTTACCATCTGAGTGGGACCTGTGGTGATCTGCAAAGCAAGGGCACGGACTAAATGATGGGAAGCCTTTCTAAGTGGAAGGACACTACCCCACCAGAACAGGCTGCCTTGGGAGCCCTCTAGGAACAAGTTAATGTCACCTAAGGCCAGCTTGAGTATGCTCATGCCTCAGCACAGACGTGATGGTGAGGTGACGTCCTGAAGTCACTTCAGTCTGTGGGAGAAATTAGGGCATGTGGGAGAGCAGTACCAGTGCCTAAATCTTGTGGTGGGATGTACACAAGATACACACCTGGACCCTGATGGAGTTACGGGGAGTCTCACGCCTCCATTACAGAGCTGTCCCTGGGGTGGCTGTGATGCTGGCATGCTGCTGATGCTACCTCCAACCCGCACGGTGCTGTCCCAATGGCAAAAAGTCCCAGTGCCCGGCAGCTGGCCTCTGATGGTCCCAACGCTGTGGTCCACGGGCCCTGGGGGAGGCTGGAGCAGTGTGACCCCTGCTGCAATTGTGGGTGCTGGGAGCACCTCTGGGAGCACCCCTGGGAGCACCAGTCTATCCAGGGGAACCACCAGAGTGGGGGCTGCTGCCAACCCCAGTAAGGGATGGATGCTGCTTGCTTTCCTAGGAACAAAAGGCTCTTGCAGGAGGAGCAGGGTGATACGCAAGTTGTTGCTTGAGTGACCCTGGTCCCTACCCACTGTGGTCAAGCAAGCAAAAGGCTCTTCCCTGCTCCCCTACTCCTGCAGCCTTCCCTGTCAGAGGAGGAGTGACAAAACCTCCGGCTCGGGAAAGCGTTTTATGAGCATGGGGAAGCAAGGGGGACCTGCTGAGCAGAGGGGACAATCGTGTCCCTTCTCCCTACCACCCGGCTGGGACTGCTTTGCTCCCAGCTTCAAAGCGCCAGGAGAAGCCTCTCTGCCCCCAGCCTGGCGCAGCCGCAGCTGCTGATGGATCACAGAGGTGGCTTCATGGCACAGCCTTTGAAAAGGTGCCTGGAGTAAGCAGCCGCCTTGCTGCCGTCTCCTTTGCTCCAGGCCCCGCAGCCAGCTCCCCGCCAGCCCTCAGCTCAGTGGGATGGCCGGCTCGTGGCAGCCGCTTCCCCCTTTGCACGGGTCCCGCTGGCTTTCTGCGGGTGGCTGCTGCCAGCGGCACGCCGGATCAGTGACGGTGAACATCAAGAGGAAGCCCGGCATTTCCAGCAGTCTTATTATGCCGAAAAAACAAAGTGTTTTGGTGTTTTACTCCACATATCTGTATCTTTATGGCCAGTTCAAGCCTTTTCATGCAGACCACAAAGGCTCAGCACAGCTTTGTATCCTGTATCAGCTCTTTTGCTTTGGCCACTCATTCTTGTGCTCTCAGGTATTTCCAAGAAGGTTATTTCTTTCTTTTCTTTTTTTTTTTTTTCTCCATTCTTGCATTAACCATTTTCTGCAGCTCTTGGAATACAGATGAGACACCAAGCCTTATTAACTGCAGCCTGGCTGTTTGCTGGGATCCATCTTGCGGAAACCAGGGATTGTCATCCCGCCAACAAAGCCACCAAACCAAGGCCAAACCCAAACCAAAAGGCCTGGTCCTTCTGTTGCAACTGTCCCTCTCAATGTGCCTGACCGCTGCCATTTGCGAGGCAGGGGTGACACCTCTCCTCCCCAGCCGGCCTCCGGCCTTGCTGTTCTAAAGGCAGCCCTGCTCCTCCACAGAGCCCTCACCTCAGCCCACTCCTCGCTTCGCTCCTGGTTTTCATTCACCCGGGTTTTCTTGTTGAAATTAAAGGGTTTTGCAGCCACGCTTGGGATTATTCCTCATTCTCAGCACATGGTCTCCTGTCCAGGAGGTGGATAGTTCTCTCTTGCACAAACATCAGTCTACGCCTCCTTGCTGTTTCTGTGTGTCTAAGCCACTATTTCTGGAAATCTGCTAAAATAGTCCACAATGAAGTCATATTTGTTTTTCCAGGACCAAAAAAAACCCCAAACCCCACCTCTGTTTGGGTGTTGACCTCTGCACAGGCTGCCCATTCCTGCCATGGGGTTTTGCTGCTGAGCATCTCTGCCTGGACCGCCCCCACCTCGCCAAGGTCACTGGTTGTCCTCATCCAGCAGCTGCCTTCCCAGCCCTCCAGCAGGGTTTGTCCCTTCACTCCTTCCCGGTGCTTTCCTGCTCTCTGCTGGGCTACTGTGCCTGCCCATCTCTCCAGAGCCTCGCCACCAGGTCGGGAAGCTCGGAGCAGCTGGATTTCCCCAGCCCCGCAGCTCACCGCGCTCCCCAGAGCCTGCGTTTCCCCCTTCCCCCTGGCTCTCTGCTCCAGTGTGATCCATCGAGCTGGCAGCTTGCCTTCACCCCACACCCCTTGCTCCATTGCCGGTCTTTCGCCTGGCATTGCAGGGGCAACTGGGGCCAACCCTCCATCTTACATACCATGGGTCCTCTGCGGCACCGGCACCGGGAGCTCGCCACCAGCAGGGCCCCCTGGCCCTGGCCCCGGTGTCGGACTGACTTGCCAAGCCAGCCATCCCCACGTGATGCAATTAGCTGGCTGATGTCGGGCCGCGGGTCATTACTGATTTGCTGGTCCCCACGCTGTGAACAGACCCGGCCAAGCCGCTCCCTCTGGGCCTGGCTGCTTCCATCAGGCAGATCCTGCAACCCCATCGCCCTGAGCTTGTTCTGGTCAGCAGTCAGGTTGGAAAGCTCCCTGGCTCTCGCCTTTGACGTCTGGGATTGAAAAGCCCCTCTCACCGCCGTTGCAGTCACTGCTTTTGGTTCTGCTCCTCGGGCAATCCTTCGTGTCCCGTATAAATCATTTGGACATATTTTTAGCAAGCATTTTTTTTTTTCTGAGTGTGGTAGGCTTCTTCCTTTGCTGTGTTTATGAATAGCTCATTGCTTCCACGGGGACAGCCTCACATCCCCTTTCCATCCCAGCAGACTCATTGCACCGGGACGTTTGTGTAAAGCAGCTCCACGCCGTCCCCGGGGAAGATGTGGGGCTCCCTGCTGGAGCCTGAACCAACCCTCTCCCAAAGGTCAGGTCTCTGCATCACAGCTCAGAGATGCAGAAACCCCTCAGTACACTGTTTAAAATGGACAAAACAGTCTATTTTTTCCTCACCCTCAAGGAAGGGCTGCAGCAGTTGAGCTGCAAGTGTCCCCCCGCCCTTACCCTCCCTGCCAAACCTCAGCCAAGGGCTGGCAGTCTGTAAAGAAAAAAGAAATCCTGTCCTAAGAGCCCAGTGGTGCTGCCAGCAGCAGAGAATTGGGATGGTTAATGGGAAGCATCCAGCAATGCACCCACAGCCCCTGTCTGCCTCACCTGTCGCAGAAGGATCTTCTCGATGCCCTGCCCTCACTGCAGCTGTGCCCTCATGGACACTCAGCTCCAGGTTTGCCTTTGGTTTTGCCTCCAGCATTATCCCTCCTTCCTTCAGCCAACACATCCCACAAGCCCAGGCCCTCCGTATCCTTCCCCGGCCATAACATCCCGGGGCAGGAGGAGGCTGGGCCAGAGCAGAGATGTGGAGCAGCAGCCCCATCTCCAGGAGCATGAACATTTCTGCTGGGAAGGTCCCGAATTAGACCAGGGAGCACAGCAGGACACTTTTACCTCCCAGAGATGAGGTGTGCCTCTACCCTCCTGCCTTCAACATGGGATTCCCAACACCACAAATTCACTGTCTAATTTTAAATCTGTGACAAACTCCTCTGCCTTTCCCCTCCTTGCTGGGTCTTTATCAGTTTTGCAGAGGAAATATATCTCCTGAGGGGTGAAACAATTCTCAAACCATTTGGTTGCTCCCCCAGCGTTTGCATCCCCTTAGCATGAAACACACTGGCAAGATGCAGAATCCCTGTGTATTTCCAAATCCAATGTTAATTCTCAGTTTATCTCCATGTTTCTGCCCCCCATGGCCTTCTCAGGCAGTTCAAATAGTGGTGTGAACCCCCTTGGGGTCTCTGCAGTGTGGCCTAGGGTGCTTAAGGTGGATGGGAGACCCACCTGCAGCTTCTGCACAGGCTTCACAGATCTCATTTTTATTTCACCTGCTGCCTGCTGGGGTCAGAGCCACCTCCTCCATCCCTGCCTCACCAGCCTCCAGTTCTCTTGCCTCCTAGACGCCTGAGGACAGCTCTTGCTAAAGGCAGCTAGCAAACCAGAAGGAACACCTTGGGTGAGCAGAGGAGAGCTCTCACCCTGCAAGCCTAGATGCACCTCCAGGCCCAGAGATGCAAGTGGCAGGTAGGAGGCACAGCCCGAGTGGGACCTTTGGTGGCACCTCGCACGTGTCCTCACTTCCCAAGGATGCTCATCGCGTGCCCCGCTCATATAAGGGGCAATGCCCCCTGTCATGCCCAAACCCTTAGGCTCATCCCTGAGGAACAAACTCAACCCAGCACAGTGGGAACCAAAAGGCACCGGCTTTGAGACGCTTTTTTGTCTCTTGGGTTTGGCTGGCTCAGGAAGGGTTTGCTCTGTGCTGTGGTGAGGACACTGCTGAGCAGAGGGGATTGGGGTCGTGGCAATGGGCACTCTGAGGAAGCATCACTAGCCTGGGGAGCTGGTGGTCCTGCATGGGAGCTGATAGTCCCTCCAGCCCCACCGGCATGCTCTGCCCATCCCTGTCCCCATCCCCATCGCGCTTACCCGGGTGGCCAGGCTCTCCTTGCAGTGCAGGCTGATTCCACACTCATCGGTGATCTCAGAGAGGTCTTCATCCTCAAACTCCTCGAGGCTGATGTCGTGGGTGAGCCTGTAGGGAGTGGAGACGGCGTGATTACCCACTGCACAGGCAGCAGGCAGGAGGGCGCAGGGCAGCATGCTGCCTGTGGGCAGGGAGCAGCACCATCTGCCCCACGAGAGGCTCTCCCAATCTCTACTGGGAAGGAAGACTGGGAAGGGGGCTCCTTTCAGAGGGGATGAGAAGTGTGCCCTAAACCAGCCCCTGCCTGACCAAAGGCAGCAGAGATGTTCAGGTTGGGAGAGCATGGGACAGACAGCCCTGTCCCAGGACGTTCAGCTCCCACCATCCCGGGGAGGCTCCGGGATTGTCCCGGCTGGGCATAGACACCCAGCAGGGCAAAGACCCAGGTTACAGGGAGGGGACAGGCTGGGGTCCTGGCAAGGGCACAGCGGGAGGATGGACCCACTGGGACAGGCGTTCACATCAAGACCCACAGACCTTGCAAGCACCACAAACCCACCGGCTGTGGCACAACCAGCCCCTGAGCCACAGCTGGGAGGGGTGTTCCAGCTCAGGTGCCTTGCAGTAAGAGAGGGCAGTGATTTCCCTCTGTGCCAGAATCACTCCCTGGGGGGACTGCGAGCATCCCCACAACCATTGGTGCTGTGGAGCCTGTCTGCACGGCCTCAGTGGTCCCTTAGGGCTGTCAGCCCCACAGGCTCATTACACCCCTTCAAGAAGTTTACAGAGATATCCTTTTAGTGGCTGGAAACGTGCTGCCAAGCGGGCTCCTTGTGTACTTGCTTGCATCCCCAGGGGGACAGTGAGGCGCTCCCGGCTTCTGTGCATTAAAACATTTCTCCGTGGTGGTACCGCAATGCTCCTCTCATTCATTACCATGGGGGTAAATAAAAGAGCCCAGCTTGCAAGTCCTCTGCCAACCAACTCAGCCCCACTGTAAGCCAAAACATCTTGCTAACATTTTTTTTGTCTTCATTTTTGCTTTTACAGTAACACCACAAGTTTTGTCCATAGTGTTCACAGGCACTGCTTTGTGTGCCACCATTTCCATTTGCTTCCAACTCCTCAGACTGGGAGATGCTGGGGTGAAAGCACCACGCTGAGCTCGTCACCCCTCTCTGGCTTGGCCCTCACCGACCTGCATCGCTTGCACACCTCGGGGCTCCCCTCGCCCCCGGCAGTGGCACCAAGCCAGCGCCATGGAGGGGTAACACCTCCTTCGTCCCAGCCCCTAGAGAAGGAGAAGGAGCAGGAGCAGGAGAAGCCTGTGGAGGAAGCAACATCTCGCCTCCACATTTCCAAGGACCCTGCCAGTGGTGGGCTCGTGGGGTGAAGATGGCCAGGAATGACTCTGCCCATGGGAGTAGCCCCTGCAAGATACACTGGGGGGGCAGGGACACAACCTTCAGCACAGGGTGGGGTGTCTGGACGCCCCCCAACCCCCCATCTCCTGATGCTGCCCGTGGGAGGTGGGGAACGCAGAGCAGGAGGCTCATGATGAGCCTTCAAAGCAGAAATTGATTTCTTCTCCGGTTACACGGGTCTCCAGGGTGGGACATCACCACCCGCTAATGCTCAGGGCCCCCACTAGCCGCAGTGTGGGAGCGCAGCGGGCACCATGGGGCGTCTCAGCGAGAGGCACAATGTTGCTGAGGGGCTGGTAGGGGCTGCCTGGCTCTGCAGGAGCAGCTGGGGTGGGTGGAAGCACCCCCCGCTCTGGGATGGGGACAGGCAGCCCTGCCCGAGCCCTCGGGGATGGGGAGGTACTGCGCGGGTGTCCAGCACTGGCCCTGCCTGCAGATGCTGGTGCGCGGCAGGATGCGGCCAGCTGCCTTTGTTGCTCCAGCACCCAGCTGCCACGCAGCTCCCTGAGCAGCCGGGAAAACTTTGGACTTGACTAGGTGCCAAGTTTGCTCCTGTCCTGTGACCATTGCTCGCGGAGAAGGGTGATGTGCCCAGGGGCAAGGAGCTGCCCCTCATCCCCCTGCGGGCCCGCGGGACAGCCCCCCCGCCCCGAGGCCCAGCCGGTCCCCTACCATTTCTCCCACTGATCTTCCAGCCAGCTCTCCTCCTCGGTGCTTGACTCCATTTTCAAGGGCAGCTGCATTGAGGAGGACCCCCTTCCCTGGGGGACACGGTCCCACCCCAAAAAAGAGACCCCCTGGGCCTGGGCCGAGGAGAAGTGAGGGAGATGACAGCCGGACCCTGGGTGCCCGCTGCCCCTCCGCCTGCCCCGTCGCAGTCTGTGGCTGCCGGCGCTGCTCTGTCTCCTCACTGCGCAACCTGGGGAAGCTCATTAAAAATAGATGGAATCAGCTGTCCTGGAGGGGAAAAAAAATTAAAAAAAAAATAACCTCCCCAGCTGAGCCAGTGCCAAGTCCCTGCACTCTGCTGGGGATGCTGACTGCCTCCACTGCCAGCCAGCCAGCCCGGCTCCTGGTCCTGCTCCAGCGCCTGCTCCCCAGCACCCGCAGCAGAGAGGATCTGCTTACTCCGGCACAGATGCCCGTGCCACCCAGCCTCCTCCTGCCCTTGCAGCATCGCTGGCTGAGTCAAGGATGAGGGGCTCTGCCCCGCCGCAGTGATGGGTTCCCTTCCTGTGCGAGATGGGAGCATCTTTCCGGCTTCTCGCCAGGTAGAGCGGGGCCGCTCAGCGATGCAAAGGCCGGAGTGTTTCCAGCACAGCAGGACCAGCCACATTCCCCGAGAAAAGGGAAGCAAGAGTGCCTTCGCCAAGGGGCAAGCCCAGCAGCACAGAGCAGTGCCGGAGTGCTGCTCCTTCCCCATCTGCCCCCACCTAACCCCCAGCTCCTCTTCCATCTCAGGCAGGGCCATTCCTGAGCTTCCCCAACCTCGAACCCCTGTTAAGCAGCATAGAAATACCTGGTGAGCTGCTCTGCCAGCTCCCACCCCTCTTCTGCTGCTGAAGGAAATAGAAGACTTTCCCAGGAGGGGCTACCAGGCATTGCCAACAAGCTGTTGGCACAGTGGCCTCAGATAATCCTCCATCACCCCCACGCCTCTCGGACCCACTTGCCACCCACCAGCACACTGCAGACCATGAGCCTCTGCGGAGCCGTTCCTCCCTCGCCCCATCGGGATGGAGCCAAAGCAGCTCTGGGAAAGAGGCACCCACCCTGATTTCGAGATGGGGACAGGGCATCCTCTCGCCTCACTGGCTGCACATACACGGCACTGGCACCCAGCAGGGCAGCACTCCACTGCCACCCATCGCAGCACTGCCCTCCCGCCCCATGCTGGCACCCACCCCAGGAGCCCTCCTCAGCCCCCCCAGCCCAGGGACTGTGAGTGATGAGCACATCTCCCACCAGCCTGGCTGGTATCACCAGCTGCCTAGGACCTGGCCTCACCCCTGCTCGGGTTAAGGTGGGTGATGTTTGCAGGAGTCCAGCTCACTGGGCGGCCTGGACTGCTCTGCTCTGACCCATTGCTGGCTCTCACCCCACCAGTGCCATGCCACCAGCGAATGTCACTCATGATACTGTGTTCGTTGTCTCTCAGATCCTCGATAACGGTATCCAGGGCTCCATCTTCCCTATCAGCTCTGCCTGGAGGCACCTCGTCTGCTCGAAACCTCCTTGCTTAATGCGATGAATAAAGCAAGCTCTATTTCTGTATTACACCCGCCCTTTTCTCCTCTCATATGGATGCTCCAGGACTTCCTAGGAGATACAAGGAAGGCTTTCCGTTTATCCCCCCCCCACCTCCTGTGCTGGAAACACCCCTGCCTTTCTCTTTTGCTTCTCAAAGAGGCTAAAAATACCAGCAAAATGAAACAGCTCTGACTTCCCTCATCTCCATCACTGGCAGTAAAAGTCTGAGCAGGACCTAAAGGGGAATTTTGACCAAGTTCCTTCGCCAGGGGCAGCAGCAGAAGCACAGGTGCCACCACAGAGTTGCCCCTCTGGCTGCGAGGGTGAGCGAGCCCTGTGCCCGCAGAGGTTACAGCTGCTCTCCTGAAGGATGTGCCAAGAGGCACCCGGAGGTTGGCAACCTGCTGCACACAAGAGAACCAGTAAACTCAGGACACCTGGGAACTGCGAGTGGGGGAGCACACGTGGGTATGTTGAGCAGAGGCAGTCATTACCTGCCCACAGGAGGAGCAGCTTGGTCGCAGCCCTAATAACAGCTTTATAATCAAGCCAGGCTGCTGTGCCTCCCTTGATCCATCCCCTGCCAGGGAAAAGGGAACTTACCCCAGCCCGCCGCCACTGTGCAGGATTTCCTGCGTGGGGACTTGGCCGGGGCAACACGGCAAGATGGAGCTGGGGATCCGACAAGCCCGGCTGCCCAGGCCACACTCTGATCCCAGGCCACAATGTGTGGAAGTCATGTAACCAGCATCAGTGGGGAAAAAAGTACTGTCCTAGATTTGGCTGGCCATGGGTTTTTTCTTCCATCACAAGAACCACCAAGAGTCTTTTATTTGAACCCAAGAGAAGGCTCCTCTCCGTCAGAAGACAGCCCTTTCATCTCCCCTCACAAGAAGACAGGTAGCCCCACTCCAACACATAGCTCATTGCCTCCAAACAGGCTCTTCCAATGGCTCCAGAGGAACACAGAAGACACATAAAACAACCCATAGAACTAGAATTGATTCGTGCCTCAGCCTGAAGGCGCTTCTTTGAACTTCCCGAGGAGATGGAGGGGTATCCTTCCCCCAGAGAACTCCTCCCCTTTTGAGGCCCCAGCAATGGCACAGAAAAGGGCTGTGATTTCCCATAGGGCTCCCCGAGGAGCGGGATAGTTCCCCCTCTCTCCTGACCCACACAAATAACTCCCTAAAGGTTTCCTTCCCTGGGAGCCTTCCTGCCCCAGCAGCTAGGCGAATGCTCTTTGCTTTTATTAGGGAAACCAGAAGGAGATAGAGGGGTTTTGTCACTGACACCTCCTCCCAGGTCCCAGCTACATCAGAGGTGCGCTCCTGGGGGCAGCGAGGCAGGCAGCACGGTGAGCGTTGCAGGGCCCTGCACCCAGCTGCACCCCAGTTGTGCCAGCCCTCCCTGCCACTCTTATACTGGGCAGAAGGACCCCCAGCCTCAGAAAGGGGGGCTCCCCTTCCAGAAAAGCATGTCCTGAAATACTGACAAAGCTTTTTGGCAGGGCAAGGAGCTGCAACATGGCATCCCAGAGAAAGATGTTAATGACCCCAAGTGGGGCGCAGGCCCCACCGCGAGGCTTTGGGAGGCTTAAGGACAACAGGGAGGCTGGATGAGAAGAACTTTTTTATTGCTGTCTCCTAAAATGATGCTGTTCTTGTCATGGTGAGCAGCCACCTCTGGAGGTCCCCCTGGCTAAAGGAGGGCTCACCTCACCATCCTGCTCCTCCCATCTCTGCTCAGATGCCACCAATCCATCACCGGCAATGAGGACCTGCCAGATCCGGCCTCTCCAGAGCTTCAGACCCCAGCCCATCGGGCTGCTTGATGACCAGGACCAAGTCCTCTCCCGATTCAAGCCAATTGATCACCTAATGTGCTTGTTCACTGGCACATTACTACTGTGGGAGCTGGAACAGCAGGTGAATGTATCAGAGGGCAGAATAGCTGAAAGGCCTCGTCCTGCAGGCAGCAAGCTGGGGCGGAGGGCAGGGCTCACCTAGTAGCTCACCGCCAGCCCTGGGCTGAGCCCTCACCCTGAGCCACGCTCATCATTTCCAGCTCCAGCTTGGCCACAGGGGGTGGCCCCTCACTGAGCCCCCGTGGCAGGGACGCGGGACCTGGGACAGGCACAACCCCGGCTGTGCCACGTAACCCAGCTCACCAGCACTTCACAAGCAGGGCTCCCTCCTCACACACTGCCCCCCCACCACAGTGTCACCTCTGGCCTGCCAGACCCTGCAGGCCCCAGGCTCCAAGATGTCACCAGCATCTCATTCCACTTCAAGGCTCACACCCCAAGCTCGGTGCCTGGGGAAGATCTCGCACCCCTGCTTCGACTTCCCGGCTTTCTGCCCAGCTGCATGGCCTCCTCACGGAGATCCGTTCTTCCCTTTCTGCTGGGCTCCCTTTCCAAAAGTCTGAGGCACCGCAAGAAGCAGCACCTCATGCTCCCTCCCGGAGCATCGCTGTTTGCTGGGGAGCAGGAGGGTGCCCAGGGACAGCCGCTGCATCCAGGACAGGGCTGGGGGTGGCGAGCCTGACCCTCTCACGGTCCCGGAGCTGCTCGGCAGCTCAGCCTCCGGCCCCCGGCTCAGTGGCCAAGCCCCTTCTCCATGGTGGATGTTTGCAGAGGCAGCATTTAATCGCTCGATTTGCAGGGTTTACCCAGCCATGTTGCAACAGCTCCCAGCAGCTCTTGCAGGCAGCGCTGCAATAGGAGGCGGCTGCTGAAGCCCCGGAGCCACTCGGCAAAGGGGCTCTGGGACCAGAGGAGCCCTTCAGGGGTAAATTGCCTGAACACCCCCATAGCTCGGCGGCACCTGCCTGCTTCCTCGCAGGGAACCGCTGGCCCTTGAGCCTCAGGGGCTGGGGCCTGCCAGAAGTAATAGCTGTGGCCCCAAGTGTGAACCAGCCCCTCCTTTCCCTCCCCAAAACCTCACCACACAAAGCAGCCGGTATGGATCCCCCTTTCCCAGCCAGCTTCCCCGCAGCACCCCTGGGTGCCAGAGACAAGCAGAGAGCAATGGCTGACGATGGCACAGGGCTGCCAGAAGCCATGAGCCTGCCCCGGCTGGCAAGCGGACAACGCCGGGTACCAAACCCGCGGGCAGAGGCAGAGCTCCCTTACCCCCCCCGCAGCTCATCCCCATCCCAAACCTGCCCTCAGGAGGCACTGGAGGCTCCAAAGCCCCCCCCCTCCCGGGCCTGGCCCCTGCCATTGGAAGTCCCTGTGAGCAGCCTCGTTGGGTTTGGGAGCAGAGACAGCCCCTGCATCCGAAATCGATGGGAGCGCTTGGAATTGCCAGGACCATCAATCCTGGCACTCTCCCACCCTCTCGCTTGGGGTTCCTGTTTCACGGGGGTGGGAAGGAAGCAGGAGCACCTGAGATTTCTAGGAAAGGGCTAGAAAAAGGCTTTCCCGGGGGTGGGGGGAAGAGATGAAGCTTTTTCTTGGTGAGGAAGAGGTGGCTGAAGAGGAGATAAGACAGGTAAGGAGGGCAGGGGGGTTG